GTGCACGACCGATCCTTACGGAATCCAGCTTGTTGATCTCGAAGTTGGGCGTCTACTGCATCCTTCATCCGGTTCAGCAACACTCTGTTGAAGACTTTCCCTGGTATTGACAGTAGTGTAATGCCTCTGTAGTTTTCACATTTGCTCAGATCTCCTTTCTTTGGAATCTTGACGAGGTGTCCTTCTTTCCAGTCCATTGGCACTTGTTCCTCCTCCCAAATCTTTTTGAATAGAAGGTACAGCATGCTTGTGGTTGCTTCGATGTCTGATTTCAGTGCTTCAGCTGGTATGTTGTCGGGTCCTGCTGCTTTCCCGTTCTTGATTTGTCTGACGGCCATTCTAATTTCTTCCGTCGTTGGTGGGTTGACATCTATAGGAAGATCTATGTGTGCTGCTTCGATGTCCGGTGGATTCATTGGAGCCGGCCTATTCAGGAGTTCCTCGAAGTATTCCACCCATCTGTTACGCTGATGTTGAATTTCGGTGATTGGCTTGCCTTCTTTGTCTTTGACCGGCCTCTCTGGTTTACTGTATTTCCCTGCTAGTTTCTTCGTTGTATCGTAAAGCTGTTTCATATTTCCTTCTCTAGCAGCTTTTTCTGCCGTCGTTGCTAGTTCTTCCACGTATTTCTTCTTGTCGGCTCTAATGCACCTCTTCACTTGTTTGTTTGCTTCTATGTATTCAGCTTGTGCTTGAACTTTCTCTGCTCGTGTTCGGCTGTTGTTAATTGCTGCCTTCTTGTTCTTCCTTTCTTTGATCTTGTCCAGTGTTTCTATAGAGATCCATTCCTTATGATGGTGTTTCTTTAGGCCCAGAACCTCTTGACACGTTGAAGTTAATGCTTCCTTGATGCCTTTCCAGTTGTCCTCCATACTAGTTTCTTCTTCTTTCAGTAGATCTTGTAAGGCTTGGAACCTGTTGTTGAGAGCTATCTTGAATTCATTGAGTTTGTCAGTATCTCGAAGGAAGGCTGTATTGAACCTTTGTAGTGCTGTTTGTCCACTTGTCCAGTTCTTTTTTAGCTTCAGTTTTAAATTGGCTACAACTAGGTGGTGATCTGAAGCTACGTCAGCACCTCTCCTGGTTCTCACATCTTCCATTGTCCTTCGGAATTTTTTGTTGATGCAAATATGATCTATTTGGTTCTCTGTAGTGTGGTCCGGTGAGATCCATGTAGCCTTGTGTATACGCTTGTGTGGAAATATTGTGCCTCCTATGACCAATTTGTTGAATGCACACAGATTTGCAAATCTTTCTCCATTTTCGTTTCTTTCTCCCAGTCCATGTCGTCCCATAATATCTTCATATCCAGTGTTGTCTATTCCGACTTTGGCATTTAGATCTCCCATCAGAATAGTTAGGTCCTTTCTTGGCATTTCTCAATGATTGACTGCAGCCGCTCGTAGAACTGATCTTTAATGTCGTCGTTGCTATCATTGGTGGGTGCATAACATTGGATAATATTCATTAAGATCCCCTCCTTCTTTGTTTTGAATGATGCTTTGATGATTCTGGATCCGTGAGACTCCCATCCTACAAGTGCATTTCGTGCTACTTTGGACAGCATAAGAGCGACTCCCTGAGTGTGTGGAGCATTGTCCTCCTCGTGACCGGAGTATAGCAGCATCTCTCCCGTAGCTAGCCTTTTCTGTCCAGCTTGGGTCCAGTGGGTTTCGCTGATTCCCAGTACTGCTAAGTTGTATCTCCTCATTTCCATTGCTATTTGACTGGTCTTCCCGGTTTCCCACATTGTTCGAACGTTCCATGTACCTATAAAAATTTTTGCTCTGGTTGTTAGAAGGGGCATCGGCCTCGTGGCTTCCGAAGGAACTCGGCTTTCACCATGAAGCGTCATAATTCTTCTAACTGAAGACCTTCTAACTCCCAGGGCAGAGTTTAAATGGTTTGGATTATTTTTTCTGGTAAGCGTTTTTTTAGCGAGTTAGTTTTCTACGGGATGGGGACGCTAACCCCATGCCCAACCCTCCTCCTTTACCCGGGCTTGGGACCGGCAGTAACCCTATTAGAGCTACAGGCGGAGTTTTAAGTCTTGAGCTAGTTGTCATTCTTCAGCAAGATGTACCTTTAATCTTGAGTGAACGAATACTTCATGGAAGATTCAACTCTATATCACCCAGCTTCACAATCACAGACATTAACTTTGAGCTATTCAGGGGTCGTGTAACCTCCTGTCAGACCGATATATTTACAACTTATTGATTACTGATTAGTGAACACTGTGATCTTTGTCCGAGTGTTTGTATGATCTTAAAATAAAGGTGACTGTTTTGTCACAAAATAGTTAAAAAATTTAAAATTATAACTGTTGAATTCCTACTCGATGGTTCAATAGTGTTATGTTTGTCCAGAAATTTTGAAAGTTTTGTCTTCCACGAATATATGTGGAAATTCCTGATAAATTTCAAACTGGAATTAATTACCTAGTTAATGATTACTTGTGGTAAGTAAATAATTGTCCAAATGATATGAATTCTTCTATCTAATATAATTTAAAGCTTATGTGATTTAGTGTATTAACGATCAGAGTGTGATATTGAGATTGTGAACCGATCAGTGTTTCGTCCTAGCATGAGACTCGTCAGCAGTGAACATCCACAATCTCCACAAGCCTACACTGATGATCATAGAGTGGTTAAGTGCCTTTATATTAATCACAAATGTCTGTATATTACACGCAATGAGTACTTATTTATAAAATAAATACATATGTTGTCAATACATCTGATCCGATCACAAAAATAAGTTACATGTAGTTAAGCGTGATTTTTCTATTTACCAGTAGCTGAGTAAATTGAATAGATCGAACAAAGCATACAAGAAAATGGGATAAATAAGAGTTTCACTAACATAACAAGTTATCTATGAAAGCTTACACGCACACACATTATTCTACTTGGATTATGAAATTTCAACAGTTGAGATCGTGAGTCAATTGAAGCTAGACCACCATGGAAAAAGTGGAAGCACTGGACGGCCGTTTCTTCCTATTGTGGGACTCCTCAAAAGTGCTCATACACAATCCCACCTCACAAGATTTTAACCCACTTAGACACTTACCCCATTCGATGCCGGTTCGCTCAGTGGTCTAGAAATTAAGCGTTCGCATGCGAGACCGATAGGTCCTGGGTTCAAATCTGGCGAGATGGGATCGTGTATGTGCACTGCCTAGAAGTCCCACAATAGAAACAAACGGTCGTCCAGTGCTTCCAGTCTTTCCATGGTGATCTAGTTTCAATTAACTCATGACCTCAATTATTAAAATTACTATAATCTCCACAAAACCCCTTCTGATTATGAAATTATTTATTGAAATAATTCATTTCTCAGTATATTTTGACACCGATAATAAACATTAGTGTTAACAAACCTTGATTGTTCACAATAGATTATTTCGAACTAATTTTTCTAACCCTCGATATCCTGCTAACCCACTATAAAAATATAAATAATAATAATAATCATAATCATAAAACTCGACTGTATTGACCACATTGAGTGATCTCAAGAATAACACTACTCATTTGTAGCCCATTTTAGATAATAAGTAGAAAAATACTGATCGAAATCAAGAGAAGTTATCAGTACAGATATGATGAAACTTTAATGTAGACGGTGACTTCACGTGTCATAAGTTTTTCTAAGTTTTCTAAATAGTTTCTATTTAAACCTTGAAGCAAACTCTTGTTTGTTTGTTTTTCTGTAAACATTCACTAATCAGAGGAAAAGTTAGTTTATATTTAAGTATTTCCCTGTATAATAACTACTCTATTATTCATTGAATTATCTTTTTTTGGTTAGCGTTTTTTTTTTTCAGCGAGTTACAAGATACATGTGTTTATTAACAGTTGACTACTCAACATTCATTGGCCAGACACTATCAAGAACAACCTACTATAGGAGAGAACAAACCAGATTCCAGTGGAGGAAGAAATTAGGAAGAAGCTATGGAAGTGGATAGGACACACATTGAGAAAAGCACCAAACTGCATCACAATGCAAGCCCTTACATGGAATCCTCAATGCTAAAGAAGAGAAAGACCTAAGAACACATTACGCCGAGAAATGGAAACATACATGAGAAGAATGAACAAGGATAGTATAGAATTAGAAAGGAAAGCCCGTGACAGAGTGGGTTAGAGACTGCTGATCGGCGGCCTATGCTCCATTGGGAGGAACAGCAGTAAGTCAGTACGTAAGTAAGTAATTATTCACTGAACCCTACGTTTCATAGTATTTATATTTGAATTATTGATTATCGTCAAAATAAGGTTGTCAGATCACGATATGATAGTGATGTAAATGAAATATTGACTATTTCACACCACTCATACAATACAAGTTTACATTTCAGTCCATGTATCGTTAGTATCATGAGTTAAATACGAGTTCACTTTAAAAAAAGAAATATATTTTCATTAAATAATGATTGTAACAAGATCTTTCTGATTAAGATCCTGGACCAAATGATGCTAGACCACTATTGAAAACTTGAAAGCGTTGGATGGACATTTCGTCCCATTGTGGGACTCCTCAGTAGTGTACATCCACGTTCCTGCTCGTGGGATTCGATTCCAAGGCCTTCAGTCTCGCGTGCGAACGCTTAACCTCTGATAAGATCTATCTGAACCAGGAGTAAACATTTACTTTATGATATCATAATGCAAATATTCTCTATAGAATTCTATAAGTCTTTAAGATTAAATAAAGTCGAATCTCTTCAGTGATGGATACTAATTACTAAAACAAATCGTAAGTTATCATCCTAATTAATATTGTTGATCATTTCCACTGATTACCTGAATAATCTTTAATGAATATCTGTTGGAGACGTTAGACTCCCAGAACTCACTTGGAAAAGGACCTAATTTTCAAAATAAAATTACAAAATTAGGTCTTTTTACAAGTGAGTTCTGGAGATCTAACGTCCTCAACAATATCAAAATTATTTAAATTAAAAAATATATTACAAATAAACTTACTCGTTAAGTGTTACAGCTGAGATAGGTGAACGTGTTAATTTTTGTATGACTAATGCTTGATGTGAACAGAATACATCAATTTTTGATGGCATTAAACGACATGGTTCACCATCCATTTGCATAGGGATAACTATATCTGTTGTAAGATGTACACGACGACATTGACAAATTCGATCACCATGTCCACCTATTTGTAAAGTTGCCTGGTAACAATATATGCATTGAAAAAAGAAATGTAATTTTCAATGTGTAATTTAAGCAAAAATATTATAAATGATTGGATGTTTGAAAATGAATTCTAAAGAGTTTCTCAACTTTATGTATATTGAGTAATGTGTTTCTTTTATCTAGATAATCTAGTCTTTATCATAAAGCAATTTTAACTAAATAACCACATAAAACTAAATATTACATTTTGGTACCTAGAAATCACAATTTCATCATATGTAGTTGATAACCAACAGACTTCTAAGCATTGAGTATACATGACCATAACCACGGATCGAACATGGAATCTTTAGATCTTGCGGCGAACGTTTAATATCTAGATCACTGAGCTAAGGATAAATGGTTTACATGTCCAATTTGAACAAATCGATAATACAGCTCAACCGTCTTCAAATGTACTTGGGTAGTTACTTCACACTGGATGCTTTTAAACTGCATTGGTCATAGTTTCTTACCAAAACTCTAGAACAATCTCAAAATTAGTTACCAGTGAGCATATCATGATTATTAGTATGGGGATTTTGTGGTGATTGTAACAAGCTAACTACCTATTATCATGGTTATCCAAGTAAATAAGTTACTATACTACATGGTTGATACTGTTCAAGCGAAATATCTGAAACTAAGAATTGTGCTTATGGAGACTTGTCAATAACGTATGTAGGCTTATAGAAACTCACTCAATGTCTCAGTTATTAACATGACCACTGATCTATTGAACCCACAAATGACCAAAATTCACGTATTTACATTGTGTTGCAATCATAATAGTATTTATTATCTGTTCATTTAAACTGGTGGTCACGTTTGAAATGACTAACAGAAACTAAATAAGACTAAAGGCTAAACAAATACCAGATTTTGGACTAATTATTGATTACTCAATTCAACGAATCACAGTAGATTGTCAATGTTCTTTAGGATGATCTTAAATAAGTTTATTTCTCATATTGTTAAGAATTATGAAAGATGTATCATGACATCACTTGTTTTATCATTGTTTCCAAGGATATAAACTATGTCGAATTTTTATTATTTTGTTTGATTCCGCTCTTAGCAACCTGTGTTGATACATTTTATTAGACAGTCCATAATTAATTTAATGTCAAAGAGGTTTCAAAGCATTTCCACTTCAATATTATAATTTAAGTTTTAAATTGAGATCATGAACCGATTGATGTTAGACCACTATTGAAAACCGGGAAGCACTGGACGGCCGTTTCGTCCTATTGTGGGACTGCTCAGAAGTGCACATCCTCGACCCCGGTTGCAAGATTAAAACTCAGGGCCTTCAGTCTCGCACGCGAACGCTTAAACTACTGAACCACTGAGCTGACAAACAATGGTGTTAATGTCTAAGTTCAACCAATCCACGAAATTGCGCGACCATCTTCCATTGTATTGAGGTAGATAACTGTCTCTACCTGACATGAATTAGCTCCACTGATCACGGCTTCTTACTAGAACTCAGAGAATTCCCTCACGAAGTTAGTCACTATTGAGCACATAGTAGTTATCAGTATGGTGTTGTAGAGAATACAAAGTTTTTGGTTGAGATCATGAACCGGCTGACGTTAGCGCAACAACAGAAAAATAGATGTATTTCTAATATTCTGATATTTTTCAACGCTACAACAGCAGGCAGGATATAAAAGTGCTTCGACTTACTAATGACGTCGATGTAAGACCTATGACTTCAATATATCCATCATCAATTCTTTGAGGTTGGAATTCTGCTGTTGGCTGACCCCATGGTAAGGTGCCAGATCCATATCTATCGAAAATAAGATAAAACATGCAAGTAGAAATCTGCGTTTTTATGATTATAAAAATGTGTCAGTGGCCAGACAGTGAAGAATGCAAACTGAATGAGATGAAGAACCTCAAATAAACACCAAATTTGAAAAAGTTAGTTTATTAGGTCATACCCCGTAAATAAAGAGATATCGGTGTTAAAAATTTGTTCAGAACACGTGAACCGGTGTCAAAGACTCGGGTCTACATACTGTCTGCTATATGTAGGAGACGTGATCGAAACCCATTAGAGAAAACTCAGGCATACAACAGATCACTCGAGACGATTATATCATTACTTACTTACTTACGCCTGTTACTCACAATGGAGCATAGACCGCTGACCATCATTCTTCAACACACTTTGTCACGGGCCTTCTTTTCTAGTTCTATCCAATTTCGTTCATTTTTCTCATGTCTGTCTCCATTACTCGATGTGTTCTTTGGTCTTCCACTTCTCCTTTGGTCTTAAGGATTTCAAGTGAGGGCTTACCTTGTAACGCGGTTGGGTGCTTTCCTCAATGTGTGTCCTATCCACTTCCAGCGCTTCTTCCTGGGCATGGGGTTAGCCACCCTTTATGGTAGAAAGCTAACTCTCTAGAAAAACGACGATCATATCATAGAAGAAACCAAATCTTTTCAAGTTATCTATTGTATGCCAGAATCATTTCTCAATGAGGTTTTCATCCCGTCTTCTACTTTTTTATCACTTGTTTATGTATTCAAACGAAACTTCTTGGACAGACATAACTCAATAGATAAGTCTTATTACTTCATAAGATGGAACTGATAATGATTACTATTCATCAAATAAGAAATAAACTTGTTATCAATTATTCATAAACTTTCTAATAAGGAGTCTTAATACGTTACATTATCATATATATGTTATAAATTGGACTTTTTGTAATTGAATCACTGAGGGGTATTGAAACCATAGATTCCAAAATGAAGTGTTCATGCTATTCTTTTTATGCAAACTTACACACTTTAAGGCCTAATACCAAACAACATGAATAACAGTAAGTGTTTTTTCTGAAGTCATTCAGTATCATCTTCTAACATCATAGTGAAATTAAATGATCACAAATTAGATTATATTGAAACAAAGTCTTATTACATAATTCAAAGGATCAGTAAAGTTGATTGATCACTTAAGACTTTAACTGATAATATATAAATATTCGCGTGATCTTCAATTTCCACAAAAAGTACCATATTACTGATTTATAATAAAGGCCAGTTTTTACTGTTATTTTCAAAAAGACGGGTAGGTTAAAAACATTCCTTGTCAGTTTCTTTTGTATTATTGATAACTAATAATAATAATAATAATAATAATAATAATAATAATAATAATAATAATAATAATAATAATGTGAGGACGGTCCACGGGTGAACTCGAGGAAGCTGTAAGAAGCTCAGAAAGAGACGAAGATATTGCATCCAATCACCTTTTGGAAGAATATTCTAGAATCCCTACGTGTAGCTTCCCGATTGGACAATGCTAATAGCCCCCTGTATACGGATTGGAGGACTGTAATGATGATTTCGTTTCTTACTAAAAACTATAAATACTTGACAATTTTGTACTATAATTGACACTGTCTAGAATAACAGTCCTTTCACTAGTCTTCGGTCTTCTCATTGCGACTTGGAAGGGTACTAGCGTTCTAGTGCTTAAGCTATATGCGGTATATCAAGAATATAAGCATCGAGATATAACAAATAACAATAATAATCAGTAACTTTTCATCATGGTAATGATTCACTGACCTTGGAATATTTAGAAACAATATACAATGTGGTTTCAAACTACGGATAAGTGGAGTTAAATCTTCATCATCACACTATGATAATAAAAAAGAACAAATAAAGTTTACTAAAAATATTTTCATTTTAACACAAGTCTAACATCTATAGGTAAGTTTTCAATATAGACAAATATGATAATGTAAATACTAACAACTTGAAGATGATCAAAACGAAGCATAATTCAAATGAATGAATTTGAACAGCTCAGTTCTATTCGAAATGCCGTTTCGTCCCATTTTGAGACTCCTCAGAGGTCTGCATCAACTATCCCGCCCCGCGAGATTCGAACTCAGGATCTACCGGTCTTGCGCGCAAACACTTGACCTATAGACCACTAAGCCGACTGGCATCCAATGGTGTTAATGTCTAGCTTCAACCAGTCCACGAAATTGAGCGACACATCCTGAATTGTCTTCAGTGAGGTACTTACTATCTCACAACAGACCTGGGTGAACCCCTGTGGTCTCTGCTTCTCACTAGAACTCCAGGAAACATATCATGAAGCCAGTCAACAACGAGCATATTTTGACTAATATCAGAAGTGTTTTTGTGAGTATTATAATAATTTCTCGCTTGCGCGCGAAACTGATAGATCCTGGGTTCGAATGTCGGGTGGTGGGATCGCGTATGTTCCCTACTGAAGGGTTTTACAATAGGATGAAACGGGCGTTCAGTGTTTCCAGATTTTCTCTGGTGATCTAGCTTCAGCTGACTCCTGATCTTAACTATTAAAATTATTAACTCTTCTCAACTATTCTATTCCCTATTTTCTTTATCTATATATTCTACTCAAACTGTTTTTGTTTCTTTATTTCAGTTAAAAGAATAATAATAATAATAATCTAAACACAATGAATGAATAAATATGAACAATTAAACTTAAACCATAATGATCAACACTTAACTCGCAATTAAAAAAGAAAACAGAAAAAAGACATCACAAAACAGAGTAATTATTATTCTTTTTTTCTTTTCTTTTTTTGAAGAAAAAAAACAATAAAAAATAAAATCGTCAGTTTTTCTTTTGCTTTTTCTTTTTGTAATTTTTTTCTCTCATTCACTCAATTGATAATTAATGAGTAAAAATTAAAAAAAAGAACACAGAAAAAACAGAGAAAAAAGAATCTCATGATTTTTGATCATGGAATAAAGTAATTATTAACTAAAATTGAATTGTACAATGCTCAATGATTAATGGGGAAAAAAAGAAAAACAAAAAAAGTAAAAGAAATAAAAAAATTATTTAAATTCTAGTAAATATAAATAGGCCAAAGAAAAAAGAAGAAAGAGGAGAGAAAAATGATGAAATGAAATAGTTCTATTGAGCAAAATTAACATTTGCATATTTGTCTTTCTTTTCTTTTCTTTTTTTTAAATAACAGTTTGTTGTTTCTGTTTAATGATCTCTTGACAATTTCTTTTCTTTAGTTTGTTTTTATCTTTATCTTTTTAAATAATAAACTATAGATTTTATACAAACATGTTAAGTGCACTGAAAATCACATGCATTTTTTTCTCGAATTATAAACCAGACAGGAATGAGATAGAAATTATTGATTGAGATCTTGAACCAATTGATGTTAGACCACTATTGAAAACCATGAAGCACTAGATGGCCGTTTTGTTCTAATGTGGGACTGCTCAAAAGTGCACACACACGAGCCCGGTCGCGAGATTCGAGCCCAGGGCCTTCAGTCTCGCACGCGAACGCTTAAACTACTGAACCACTGAGCCAGAAACCAATGGTATTAATGTCTAATTTCAACCAATGCACGAAATTGCGTGACAGTCTCCCACTGTACTGAGGTAGGTAACTGTCTCTACCTGACATGAATTAACTCCACTGATCACGGCTTCTTACTAGAACTCAGAGAATTCCCTCACGAAGTTAGTCACCAGTGAGAACATGGTAATCATCAGTATAGGGGTTGTGGAGACTACTAAATTTTTAATTGAAATCATGAACCGATTGATGTTAGACCACCAGTGAAAAGTTGGAAGCACTGGACGGATTGATGTTGTTGTGAACGATAATACAAGTGGGGACAATCAATGTATATTAAAATTACAGAGTTCTTTCTTAAAATGTAAAAACCATATATATCCAATACTTTATTTACAAATCCTTCATCGATTGTCACAAACTTTATAGTTCATTTATTGCTATCATATTTGATCTCAAACTTCTGCTACCAGATATTCCACTTCTGATTAGTGATATATACTACTTAGTTCGATATAAGTAGCATACACCACAATAGTATATTGGTCAGTATTTTATTGTGTAATTTTATGTATTACATTTTTTGTTTACAAATTAATCAATAAGATTGATGAATTGATGTAGTGTACTGAATACCAATCAACGTCATTTATATTCGGTCATTAAAACGTTATTTATGATAAAAATTATTTAGTATGGTAGTTACTGATAATCTCAGAGAAAAATACCTAAGATACAGTAGATTAGTTTTATTACAATAGTCTTTGACAGAGTACATTTATAACTGTACACATTTATTAATGTTTGGAACGAATCATGTTATTCATTTGCATTAGCAAACGTTAGTGGATAGTGGCTAGCAGTGGAATCCATGACGCCTGGCACTTCGTCCTATTTGGGACTCGTCATCTGGATGTACCTGCACCTCAGAGTTGATGTTCCCTCTGGGATTCGAACTCAGTACCGTTAACTATCCATCTTTACATATAATGCTTGTGAATTAAGGCAATATCGAGGCAATACGCACAGGATGACTATATGCCAATAAGAGATTGATCAATTACAGTCTTAAACATCAATGGGAAGATTCAAACAAACAATATCAAGTGAAGTTAATGGATTACATTCATTTTTATCAGTGGATAGCTTTATAAGAATACAGATAAATAGGATTCACTAGTTCTTGATTAGACAATAATATTTGATGAATGCTTTTGAAAAGATCTATCAAATTTTTATGATCATTTATTTAAATGGCGAAATAAATTGTTAGATTTCCACAGTTTGACTATGTAGTAATTCCTATAATAATTACTTCTAAGTATTTAAAGGAAAATATGAATAAATAAAAATGAGTTATTGACCAATTAATGTTTTAATGAATTAACTTTATTTTTTAATGATATTAACTAAAAGTTTTGAAGTGATGCTGAGGAGTCCCACAATAGGACGCAACGGTCGTCCAGTGCTTCCAGATTTTCCATAGTGGTGATCTAGCTTCAATTGACTCATGATTTCAACTGTTGACATTACTATAATATATCCATAAAAACTCTTCTTATGTATATGAGTTAAAATGTGTAAAATGTCAAAGGGACCCTCAAAAATAAGATAACAAGAACTAAATTGAAATCTACAAGTTGTAATGTGAAATTCATGTACAAATATACGACAGAGACATTGTGAGCAAAAAAAGTAGTAGGGTATGATATTTCATCACTTTGAAAGTTTGTCAGGATGTTTTTTTTTGTTATTAAAATCTCTTTAAATCTCCTGTGCCGATGATGATTATTTTACTACCAGTGATGAATTTTGAGATGACAAAGTGACAGACCGTGACTAAAAGAGGCCAACCACGTTTAGTGTGAGGCTATCACCCACCGAAGGCAGTAGAAAATGGTTGTCTATTATCACCAATTAATTAAAGTTTGATATTTAAACTATTGCATGATGGTTCGGCGATCTAAAGGTTAGGCATTTGCTCACGAGACCAAAGTTCCTGTGTCCAATCGCTTGGTGTGGTCGTGGATGCACATTGTTAACAAGTCCTATGCTAAGATTAAACAGTTGCCCAGTACTTTCTTGTTACTACTAGATATCTAACTGAAGTTAGTTCATGATATCATTATTATATTTCATATGTAAACACCGACACCTTTAAAATAAACTTTATATAACTGTTACCAATGGAATCCATAGGGTACATCTCATTTGTCAAACAGTTTTACGTATATTCTATGGTTAAACAAGCAACTACCTGTAATATATGAAGGCATACACTGAAGAAGCCTATATTCTCAAAGAGACTGATTCCGTTCCGTTTAGAATATCAAAATTAAATATACACACGTTCTTATGTGTACTTCTTAATCCGTTGAACTTCATTTAATAAGTCTCTTCTTATTAATACACCAGTAATTATACTCATTTACTAGTATTCCAATGAAGATTATGGAGAAACTACAATTTATGGACGAATCAATCAGATACAACATAATACGTCTCGAATTTTTGGCGCAAAATTCACTCATCCATTTGATTAAATAAAGTTTCAGCATTATAGCTGATATCAGTTCATGATGAAAACCCTAAATCTAATTCCTTACCTTAATTATCAACTGTTAATCATAATTCTAATTCCTCACATTTGTTTATAACCCTCATATAGTCCTAGTTACTAGGTGAACACTCTCAACGTCACTTAAGTGTCGCTCAAATGGTCATCCATAATTAATAGTCTTACCAAAATTCTTCTTTCAAAGTAATAATAATGTCAATTAAACTAATATTAACTATAAACTTACAATAAGTGTAATATGTTCTGATAGATCACGCCAACTTCGTCGAAGTAGATCTTTACCACCAAGCTAAAAAAATAATGTAAACAAAAAAATTAATATTTTAATATTTTTTTGATTGAAACCATGAATCGATTGATTTTAGACCACCATTGAAAACCTGGAAGCACTGGATGCCCGTTTCATCCCATTGTGGCTCAGTGGTCCAGTAGATTAAGCGTTCGCGCGTGAGACTGAAAGACTTGGGTTTGAATCCCGCGAGAGGAATTGTGGATGCACACTGCCAAGGAAAAGTCTCATAATAGAACGGAACGGCCGTCCAGTGTTTCCAGGTTTTCAATGGTGATCTAACATCAGTCGTTTCATGGTTTCAATCAAAACTTAATAATCTACACAACCTCTATACTAATAACTATTTAAATAATCTCTTTTCCTCTTCATTTTAGATAAAAAGAAAAAAAAACATTAGTGAAGACTTTGGTAGGTTTAATCTACAATATGTTCATATTAGATATGATTTATTCAATTAACGAATTAATATTCGCAATAATGTAGGTGTACAACAGATGTGTATAATTCTTATTTTCGAGTAAATTTCAGACAATTACTAAGTTATTATGGAATGAGTAAAGTATTTCAATTTGAAGTTACACATTGATGTGTTTTAAAAGTTTTCTTGAATATTAATGAGCTTACAAAATAAAACCAGTTGTAGATAGCTTCGACTGTTACTGTTAATGTTAAAGTGTTAGTCTGACTTGCTTATCGTGATGAACTAATCCAATCATACTGTTTGTGACTTTATAACCCGCTAGTTATCACATAATCTATTCGCCAATCAAAATATGACTTATTCGCCTGTGTACTGTACTAAACTAATGATGTCCTATTGGTCCGTTGCTCGCCTAGCCCGTCCACTTGAGTCCAGAATGTCAATACAGCCTCCACGATGAGTATTCTTTTATTTCAGACATACAAGGTTTATAAGTCAACCAAACAGACCGCAACGCACCATAAAATAAGAAATAACATTCATACACAATAAAGCCAAAAGTGGCTGTGAACGTGGGAGACAGTAATTAATAAACTAAGTATAACATAAGAACAGTAACTCGTACAATAATAGTCTATAGGCCAAAACGAAGCTTATAATAAGGGGAATATAAATATACACAATCTAATTACTGAATAGTTATACCATAAGAATATATAGATAATATTAGTCCATGAATAGGTCTCGAAATTTACTCGTAATTTAATCTTCACTAGGATATAACAAATACTACCTGGGATAATTGTTTCTCAAGGTAATACACGGCCAGGTAGATTGGTTGAAGAACGGTAAGACTGATAGGAAGCAAACCCAAGGTCCAAGGGAGAAGTCGCGCTGCTGACTATGCAAAGGCTTGGTGGCACTAAGGTGTTTTCTTCACACAACCAGCATCACAGCAATACTGCCTTCCAACAAAAGAAGGGTGGGGTTAGGAAAGGTTGACCCTCGAAACACACACCTCACCTTATCCCACGGATTTCCGTCTCCCGCGACAAGGTCCCGACAAGTACGAGCCAACACAAAAATCACCCACAAAAGGCCTCAAGTAGTTGTCCCTTTGGCACTGTGGTCACGCTTTCAGGTCACCGAGACTACCTCTAACCCAATTTCCTTTTCAGGTAACCGGGAAGTGGTAACCGCCCTCATACCTCTAAAAGCACTCAACACTGAGACAAATCATCTTAACCTAACTATCCTTTGCTGACTATATTGAAATCGCGAAAAATTTAAGGCTCTTTATTAAGTGATCAAAATTAGCCGACAGGTAATCTTTATCAGTTAGTACTCATCAATAATGTCTGCCACTGATCTTTATGATAACTGATAAAATCTACGGTATATGAACTAGGGTAGCACCTTTTCACAATTTAAAATATCAACCAGCTGTTTGGGCAGTACAAAGTTCCTGTTATCTGTGACCAGCACTGTTAGAAACTGAGTTATTTATTTAGAAAAACAGCTATGTTATTTCTTCCAAAGCATCTACAGAACATATCAAGTTAGAATTAAGGATTCATTGAAATCCTTAACAGTGACAACGCCTAAACTTAATAATAATGAGAAGAAGAAGAAGAAGAAGAAGAAGAAGAAGAAGAAGAAGTGATAAACATGACATTTTGGTTAGGAATGATAATAAATACATTTTTTATCATAACAAAAGAACTGTACTATTTAAACTTGTGTTAATTTAATTCTGTTATTTATTAACTCTGAAGAAGTGACTTACATTAAGTCACGAAACATCAGAGACACAACTTCCTACTCATTTAGATATGACAAAAAAATATATCTATTATTAGCTTTCCACCCAATGTTCAATTTATTTGAAATTGCTAGGTTCAACCTTTGGCTTTGGTCAGGACATTTTTTTAGTGCGCTGATACATAACTAGAAACTAAGTGATTCGATTATGTGAAACAGTTGAAATGCGTTTAACTTTTGGGTGAAGACACAATCAAAATGAAGAGGTAGACAATGAAAGGTTAAAGGTCAACAATAACCAATTATGATCGAGCTCGACAAGACAATGTATGAGTCATATGTAAAGAGACTAGAACACTTCATTTCTACCTGGAGTTTGTGTTGATGACGTTGTTCAGAAGAATAATGAAAGTTCCATGATCATACTATCCAACTCGGAGAACAAAACTCTACCTAAATCAACCATCTGGCATACATATATCCGTGTTTAACTTTTGACAGTGAAACAAAGTTAAAATTAGTTAATTAATCTCAGGTTGATTTCTTTTTGAAGTATGCGAAGATGATCATGTGAAGAGATTAAGAATTAAGAATAAAACTGTGGATTGAAACATTACATAATAATATTTTGCTAAATTAATTATGAACATGATTATCCTGAAGTACTTTGAGAATTCCTAAGTTAAGATAAACCTAGTCTTGTTGTTGAGCTGATTAATATATCTGGAATGTTATCAAGACCGACTGGTACATAAAGAATACACTTAAGTTTACGAAAATGAAAACAAACAAATATTTCTTTTTAATAGTTGAGATCATGAATTAATTGAAGCTAGATCACCATGGAAAACCTGGAAGTACTGAACGACTGTTTCACCAATTCTTTGTCAAATAACAAAATAGTTGTTTTTAACATAACGCTATATTGGAATAAACTTTCACTATGTTAATGAACTAGTGTGATACGTCATCTATGATCACATTTATTCAATTGTACTATGTTACAACATTTTTGATTAAGATACTTTAATTAGCTGAACTGTGGGGATGGCCCAATGGTGAAATCGAGGAAGCTGTAAGAAGCTCAGAAAGAATTGAAAATATTCTATCCAATCATCTTTCAGAAGAAAGTTCCAGAATCTCTACACATAACTTTCCCTATTGGGCAAATGCTAAAATCCCCACTTGTATGTGGATTGGATGATTATAATGATAATTTCGATTTTACTAAAAACTATAAATACCTGATAGTTTTGTACCATATTTGACTCTTGGATGGTTCTAATATTCGACTGTTCAAGTTGTAAATGGTATTTTTTTTTATTTATATTTATTTGAACACATAAATATTGGTACAAGATGGGCCTCCATGGTCGCAACCGGTTAGCGCGTTCGGCTGTTAACCGAAAGGTTGGTGGTTCGAGCCCACCCGGGGGGCAGTACATAGTATATCAAAAATCTAAGCTGTAAATACAACATGAACATTATTATACGAATGTCAGTTTAGAACAAATGTTTATCCCTTTTAATCTCATTGAATTGTCTAGTATAAATGTAATCAAAATAATCTATAACATTTCAAAATAGAATTATGCAGTAACATCATTTATTGAACTTACTCCAGCGTAAAATAATTTATTTTTTAAACGACTATTGAATTTTTCAGGATTTGCTTCTATTAAGTAAATAAAAGAAAGTAAATAGGAGTATATTAGTTATTAATTATATATATATATATATATATATATATATATATATATATATATATATATTCTGAGCCATGTTGATAGATGCAGATTACTTGGTTGACGTTCGAGTGACTATCGTAACCAATAGTTGGAGACTGTGGGTGACATGGCTCAGAATCGATCAAAATGGTGTATCTGTATACACTCTCTGTTTTCTCTTAAACTATGAAACTAAAATTATTTCAAATCTTTCTTTCTACGAACTAATTCTTTCTTCCTGTTCTATATCCTTATATGCAATCTTTCCTTCATATATTACACCATTGAGTTAACTGCTTCTATGAATTCGGTGTTCATCTTGCTGTGCTAATGAGATGTGGCAACTTGAACCGATGCATGTATATGCCTGGTCCTAGGTTGTAAATGACTGACTGGAATATATCAATGATTGTTTTTCTGGAAAATATAGGTCTATAGGAGGATAAAAAAGATTACTTCATAAATGAATTTAAGACTAAATAACATATGAGATTACGTAGGAATCAAAAGGATTGTAATAATCTTAACAATTGAATTCATTAGTTAATTTAATCTAGACCACTATTGAAAACCTAGAAATACTGGACGACCGTGTATATGGACACTGTTGAGGAGTACCATATTAGGACGAAACGGTTGTCCAGTAATTCTAGGTTTTCGATGGTGATAACAGCTAGCAATAAAATCCAAGAAGCAAGTTTTATCTTATATACAACACATTATCTGGATGAATCTAACACATCCCTTTGTTTATTTTCACATCAAGATGTGAACTCAGCACCTTACATTTCAAATGTTCAATGAATTATCGATTAAACTGTTAAGTTCAACTAGACACCAGATTTTGCACGGGAATACGTTATATTATTTTTATTGGTAAGTTTTGGAATCTTCTAGTTGTTAAGTGAACATTAATACTAGGATACAGCGGTATCCACCAGATGCGTCGTATATAGGGCTATACGAGAGCCTGGATTACACTGTTATTCACTGTTCATTTTCACTTGAAACACTTGTAACTTAATATGTATATCAACGCAATCCTCTGAGGATGAATATGTTTAAGAAGAGATTGGTCGAAATTCAGACCTTAATACTGACAACGCAAAGATTTAAAAACAAACAAATGAAGAAAATGAAAGATAAATCAGTTGAAGATCACTTGAAATATATATATATATCTAGCAGATTTAGAACAATGAAGCGGTTATTGATACAATGGATTACATAATAAACAATTATCAAATGATTAACAATTAACACAACTAACTACTGTTTTCTCAGTGTATATTTACTCATCAATAAGTAATATTAATGTGATTTAATGAAAAAGCCCCAACAATAACAACAACTCATCAGTCAATCGATCAACCAATCATTATTATACGATTTACTATTCTTAAGTTATATCAGGTTTATTGATTACAGTCTCACACATTCACAGCTACATTTTGGCTTGATCATGTATAAATGTTATTTCCTAATTTATGGTGTGATGAGGTCTGTTTGGTTGGTATATAAACCAAGTATTTTTGAAATAAATGATTCGCATAGTGGGATCTGTTATTGGTATTCTGGACTCAACTGGACGAGCTAGACGAACAAAGGACCAATAAGGAAACTAGACTGTCCATGTCGGTCGAACGTCATTGATTTGGAATAGTACTAAGATTGAATACGTCACATTTCGATTGACGAATAAATCACATGATAATAAGCTGGGTATAAAGTCATAACAGTTATTTGGTTGAAATACAATGTCGAAATTTATAATTTATTTTTTTGTATTGCTATTTGAATCTTCTCATTGATGGTTAGGACTGAAACTGATAAGTCTTTTTTTGGTATCCTGTGTGAATTTCTTCGATATTGCTTTAATTCACAAGCAGAGATGGATGGTGGCTAGCAGTGGAATCCAGGACGCACATTCCATCCTCCTTGGGTCAGTAATAAATTAAATTCACCCCAATGCAAAAGCTAACGGACTATTTGGACTAAGTAGCAAAGTGGATAATATGATGGTTTTCGAAGTGAACGGTAGTGGGTTCGAGTCCTGAAATAAACACCAAGTCCGTGATGCGGGTACATCCAGATGACGAGTCCTACATGGGACGGGACTCACTTCTTGGATTCCATTGCTAGCCAGCATCACCTGTTTCAATGAAATTCAAACTTTTATGGTGATTAACTAACAGTTTACTCTAAAACATGCTGCGAACATTATGATCATTCTTTTGGTTCATCTCCCCAATCGAGCGTAGGCTGACAATCAGCATTCTCCAACCCACTCTGTTCTGGACCTTCCTTTCTAGTTATATACAATTGTTGTTCATTCTTCTCATGTAATGTATTCTTTGGTCTTCCTCTTCACCTTTGGCCTTGAGGATTACAAGTCAGGGCTTGTCTTGTGACGCAGTTGGGTGCTTTCCTCAATGTGTGTCCTAACCACTTCCAGCGCTTCCTGATCTCTTCCTCCACTGGAATCTCATTTGTTCTCTCCCACACTAGGTTGTTGTTGATGGTGTCTAGCCAACGGATCCAAAGTAGTTTGTATAGCTAACTGTTAATAAACACTTGTATCTTGTGGATGATGGCTTTCGTAGTAGTACTGTCTTGACATTTGTATTGAAAATCCTGATCTTGGTGTTGGTTGACAGACAGTTGTTTTGAGTTCTAGATGTTCTTCAATTCTCGATATGTCGCTCTTGCTTTGCCGATCCACGCCTTCACAACTGCATCAGATCTACCGTGTTCATCAATGATGCTGCCCAGATATGTAACGGTTTATACATCCTCCAAATCTTCTCCATCAAGTTCGATTTGATTGATGCATGCATTGTTGTATCGGGGAATCTTGCTTTTCCCTTTGTGTATGTTGAAACCTACTGCTGTTGAGGCTGTTACTACACTGGTCGTCTTCTCCTGCATTTGTTGTTGCTTGTGCAATAGAAGAACTTATTTATTCCATTTTATCTTATTTAACAATTATATATATATATATATATATATATATATATATATATATATATATATATATGACAGTAAATTTTTTTTTATTTTCCTGATTTCTTTTAGAATTCTTTTTAACTATCTTATATTAAATCTTAATTAAACCAAGAAATTGACATTGTTTTATTGAATTCCATGATATTTGGTTAAGAAATAATTAATGAATCAATCAAATTACTTTTTTTTTCCATTTATCCCTTCATTACTACTTAAGTAATATTTAATATCAGATGGGTTTTGTCGATATTATAGTAATTTCAATGGTTAAGATCATGAGTCAGTTGAAGCTAGACCATCATGGAAAACGTGGGAACACTGGATGGCCGTTCCGTCGTGTCGTGGGACTCCTCAGCAGTCCGCATCCACGACCTCGCCCCCTGTGAGATTCGAACCCGGGACCTACTGGTTTCGCACGCGAGCACTTAACCACTAGACCACTGAGCCGACATCCAACTTTGTTAATGTCTAACTTCAACTAATCCACGAAATTGAGCGACACATTCACCATTGTCTTCAGTGAGTTACTATCTCACAATAGACCTGAGGAGTCCCGCAATAGGACGAAACAGCCGTCCAGTGCTTCCGGGTTTTCCATAGTGGTCTAGCTTCAGCTGATTCATGATCTTAACCATTGAAATTAATATTTATTTATAGACTGATGTTCAATGAATAAATAAACTGAAGTAGTAGAATGTTTATTTGAAAAGTGTACGTTATATTATTGCTTTGATTACCAATATTGGACGATTATTTTCTAAAAAGTTATATTCCCAAACATTTTTATCTTATAATTAAATACATTATGACTTACGTATCTTATGGTTTAAAGGTATATATTTTTTTCTGGTTAACTAATTACTTTCTTTACATTACTTATGTTAGCCAATATTTGTATATCATGATCAGTGTTGAATAAATAATAAATGATTGATGATTCAGTATTTTATGTAGTATTGTATGTTTTATCCTTTCTTTAATTGACTAAGTGGTCTTATCATGTATATACAATAATTCGAACTAATCATCTTTCTTTATTCACTAGCATGCATTTTTTTATCACCTGGATAGGACACATATTGATTAAGGCATTCAACTGCGTCACAAGGCAAGCTCTCACTTGGAATCCTTAGGGACAAAGGAGAAAAGGAAGACCGAAGAACAATGACGCCAAGAAATGGAGACTGCTGTTCAGTGGCCTATGCTGGATTGGGGTAATAGGTGTAAGTAAATTATATTCGCTGAATTTAATCTGAAGTTTGAAGTTAAAATCCAAATCAATTATGTAATAAATGATTTGTAATTATATTAATAAACAGTTACCTACTTACTTACTTACTAATTAATGAACTAACGTAATGAAATATGTCAGTAGAAAAAAGACAGAACTAGAGATAAATTGCTTACTCTGTTATTACTTATAGTAGTTTGAAGAGTATTGAAAAAAGTTTTTTCATTTAAACTATACACATGTGAATATTAATATTTTATTTTAAAAAACTTTTTATAATAAAATAATACAAATTCATTCAAATTAGTAGTATAGAATAATATAAACGAAATTAAATATCTCCACTTGATGCTGTTTACTTGTATCTTCCCATTCTTATTTAGGACTGCAATTGATCAGCAAGTGGCTATCAGGACTCAGTAGCTAAGTGGATAACGTGATGACGTTTGAAGTGAACGGTCACAGAGTAAGCATCAACAGTGAGATGCTAACGAGTCTCAATTAGGATGAAACACGCGTCCTCGATTCCACTGCTAGCCATTATCCATATTTACATATAATACTTGTGAATTAAAGCAATATTGAGGCAATAAGCATAGTATGCACGTATGCCAATAGGAGATTGATCAATTACAGTACTAAATAACAATTGGAAGATACAAGTAAAACAATATCGAGTGAATTTATACTTCATCCGACTGCATAAACAAG